TTCTTTATGCTCAATACACATAACAACACTCCATACAACCTCCACCCACCGACAGCACTTAAACATTGCCAGCTATTGTCAAGTGGGCTATTGAATCATTGATGCTCTCGTTTTTGTTTTGTTTTCGTATTTTTTTTTCCTATCCAAGACATTTGCACATGTGCATGCAGTTGGCCCTCTTTTTGTTTTGATGTTTTTAACTGAATAAAGATTATAATAATGTGTAGTCCTAATGATATTTTCCTTTATTTTGTATATTATGTATAGGACCTTATCAGTTTTTTAGTCATCCATCAATCAGTCAATCAATCAATCCATCTATTAATTGAATCAAATGATGAACGAACATATAGATATTATGCTTGGAGCTATGGAGTTATTTGATTACAATGAATAAAATAAGCTCAGTGGTGGTATATCATCTAATACCTTCATGGGAGCATCATTTAAATACCATTCCCTCTTCCTTCTTGCATTAACAAAGAACTCTTCATTCACATTACAGTACCTTATCTAGGGTAGTTCATGAGTTTTGTATGTCCATCTTAAATAAAAATAAACCAGTTGCTATTAATCTTTTCACCTGGTATTTTGTCACCTGGTCAAGTGATATATGACAATATGAAGGCATACAGTATGTTCAAAACTTAGCTTCCTTACCTGGGCCTCTAGGTAGTTTTATTTGTTTTTTTGTGGTTTTGACTATATCTGTCAGAGGGTTAAATTAAATTTTTGATATAGGGAGCAGCATGCAAACTATGATGTTTCCAGTGTGCTTCTAAAAACCTTCATGCATTCCTTTTATACCACTTTATTCTCAGTTTTATTATTACTTTTTATAAATGAACGATGCAGGCCGTAAAAAGTAGGTGTTTTCTAGCCAAAGATGTTTGGCAGGCCGCACACACACATGTTCATTTTTGCGGTCCGCAAAAAAATCACTGTTACACGGCCCGCAGGCCGCACTTTGCCCACAGGCAGTCTAGTCAAATTCTATCTCCCCACTTTTCATTTCAAGAAAATAAAGTACTCAGAGGAAAAAAGAGTAACGACAAATTAACATCATCAGGCAAGACTCCATTATAATCTTTCATGAACCTGTCAATGTAGCTGATTTTAAGATACACATTTTTCGAAATTTTGCGACCCAAATAAATATAAATTTAAAAAGGTATATTTTTAGTGTTCCTGCCACCTTGAAATCTCCCAATGAGTGTCTTTATTATTATATTAATCACAAATCACAAATTAAATTTTCTTCCTTTGCCCAGATGCTTTTGGTAAAACCATTCACTCTTCATTCCTCATTCTCCTCTGACATTATTTTATGGCTCGCTATAAAACATGGTAATAAAATGTCTCTTCTAAACAGAAAGAACACTGATGTCATTGTCACCATCACTCTTACTGCCATTGTCATGAATATCCTCAGCTCTGAGTGCTCAATTTCATTAGATACGAAGGCTGAATATGTACCTCAAATTCAAAACTGCCAACTGTCACCATTATCACCATTAGGGAGGTTTCGCATGTGAACACATACAGTTGGTGTGATGGATACGTCATCATTTATGATATCATACGCCGGCCGCTATCCACGACTCGCGTGTCTCGCTCACTACATTTAAGTGAAAAATGGGTAGGGAAATTTTGGATTTTTAGCAGGATCTTCATATTTTTTTCACATTTTACTGTAAGTTTACAAAATAAATTTTTGTGACTTTTGAAGACAGCAAGTTACGAAAGAATGAGTCTCATTTTGGGGTATTAAAACATCGGTGTTTGATGGTGTCGGGATTTTCATGTAGGCCTTGCCAGGGGCCTCCCTAGGTGCGCCTAGGCCTAGAGTAGCCAGGCATATTTGGGTCACAAAATAATCAACCAATGAGGGAAGGAGTAGTGTTAGGCTACCATTTCCAATTTCCAAAACCTTGCATACCAAAACTTCAGGCCATGACAAAATCTGATTTTGAGAAGCAGGATAAGAGAAGAAAACGGAATAGCCTAGGCTAGGCCTAAGGAAGCCTCTACGCTTAAATTTCGCTGTCATTGCAAAAAGCACAGCATGGTTACAAACTGTTACGGATAGCTAAATGTATGTATACATGTATTCGTTCACATGCGAAAACATCTCTAATATCATCATCATGAACATCACATCATTAATGTCACTGTGATTGGGAAAACATTTTATTTCTATTTTGACCTAATATACAATATTATTTTGAAAAGCACCAATCTGCACAGTAAAATATTTTCCATCATCATAACTATCATCATCAGATTAATTTCAAGAGGATGATGGATGTGGTCTTAAATATGACCTTATATGAAGGATGGGAATTTAAATAAATTTTGCTCAGAAAGACGACAACTGCACTTGAGTATTTCCTTACCCTTTCTCTCCTGAGAGCCCTGTATATATTCTCGTTCTATGAGACACTCATCACTATTTCCTTCTGTGTTTAATAGTTGTTTAGATAAGAAATAACCTTCTCCACTTATTAAGTGTTAAATCTGATTAATATTTCAGTGCAGTACTATATTTATTACCAGTAATGTACTGTATATTATACAATTGCATTATTCTAGTTACATATTTAAATACAAACATAGAAAATCATGGTATTTGAAGAATGGAAAAACTGTTTGATGATACCTACCACTCTTAGTAATTGTCAGTCTGAATTTATTTTTAGATTTGAGTATTTGAAGTACTATAATAGACTTAAATTTAAATTGAATGGAAACGATTGATAAAAATAATTAGGAATTAGATATAAGATGTATATTTATTCAACATTTTTAGGAGTTGTTCTCACAGCAAGGGTCCCAGAGGTGATAAAAGTGATCATATCAATAGTTAAAATCATTAAATTGTTTTTATGGCTACTGTGCTTACTTACTTGCAATTCAAAAAAAAAAATTATAGTAAATGAACATTATCATGCATTGTATTTAATATGTAGGTATTCATATAAGCTAGGCTCATAGCTACTCAAATCAAAGAGGTTTCGATTGCACAAAGGCGGTGAGATCTAAAACATAATGTCATCTTGTAGTCATCTGTTTATGCAGACTTTGCCAAATTTTTGTTGTACAGAGAAAGGACGAATTAATTTGTCATATAGTCACGTTGTTGCACGATCTAAAGCCCCATATTACTGAAAAGCGGGCTTACACTAAATCATGACATTAACAAGTCATTTAACTTTACCAAGTTTATGACCAAATGAGATCCATTCAAAAACAATTGACAACATCAAGTGAATGGATTTATTTGGGATGTTTTAATGAGATTAAGTTATCATGAATTGAATATTAACTTTGATTTACCAGTACTGAGAAACTTGTGTTTTAATATTTTTTTCTCTCCAAAATTTGAATTTAGTACATAAATAATTGTTCCTTAGTATGAATGAAGGATTATAGTGTTAGGCTTGATTTCTTGATTGATTTTGAAGAAGTGATCCTGAAATTCTTGTATTTACCACAACTATTTCACTGGCTACCACTAGTTAAAATAATATAGTACATGCATTGTCTTCAAATTGTTATGGGTTATTGGAATCAATTCAACTGAGGTTTATCCATAGTGAAAGTGATATAAAGGGCTATCAGTCAGCTGATATTCATGGTTCTGTTAAATCAAGGAGGTATAAATTCCATGGTAAAATGAGGCTTGATAGTGAAGATGTCTTAGTCATGAGAAAAAAATATCCTAATGTCACAGGATTGAACCCAGGACCCTGGAATTTGAAAGCAAACTACCAAGCGACATCTCCACTACTATACCAATTTCAATCACAATATCTTTTATAAAGTATCAATAAACCAAAAATAACTCCACTCCCTAAGCCATAAAGAGATTTGGTTTATAAAGCATCATTCCATCCTGTAAGTGGTGGGTGTACTTGCTGATTGGATGTGAAGGAAACAAAAAAAGATATATTGTACAATTATAGACAATGGGCCTATACAGAGCTCATGATTAATATTTGTGATTGTTTATAGGGTACCGTATGTGGTTTAATCAACAACTTTACTAGAGAGTAATATACATGTAGTGATAATACTCAATAGTGAATACTGTTAATGAGTTTGACTAGTCTCATGCTATGTTTATGTTGAGAAACACTTTGGCATCTAGTTGACCAGCTGTTTGGAAACATCAAACTACAGTACCAGCATGTGAATAATTCCATGCTTTGTGTTAAGTTTGTGTTTGCTGAACATATAACTGGATTATACTGGGTTTGTTGTTGGAAAGCAGTTGTGTGTTGGCCTACCCATTCTAAGAATACATTAAGTAGTAATAGGTTACAAGTACTATGTATTGTTTTGTCAAATATTGTTATAAATACATTTTAAATATGTATGACAATTATAGATATAGATAGTTATCGTCAGTAATATCAATAATTAGAATAATCTTTAATAATATTGTACCGATAATACTGTATTGCTGAATAATATGTCTATGATCGTTATCCTTAATTTATTATTTAAACTTTTATTATATTATTTTATTTAATTTTTAATTTATTTCATGCCCTGTTATGTCATGTCATGTTCTACAGTAACTCTAATTAGGACTTCTATCCTGTGTGTTAGTATTAGTTTTTAATGTTATTGTTATTGTTTATTAATATTATAAGTGTAAATGATTCTTTTTGTAAAATAAAATCTATTTTTTTTTTATAAATTTCAATCTATAATTATAATACACATTGAGTAATATTTTATTCTTCATTTTAAAATGAATTTGATCTGTTTGTGAATTTCTTAGTACTGTGACTAAAAGAGTTCGAATTTCTATCAAGAAAAACCCCAAGAAAGTTACTCTGCATAGTAGGCCTAATTCAAGGAAAACTCTTAATATCAAAAACTATAAATATCAAAATTATCTAATATCATCATTACCTTCCAAAATGCAACTTGATATAAGATGAGATTTTTGTTTATGAAATTCAATTTCATTTGCATGTTGTCTCCTGCAGGGTGCCGTCTCCCAGCGAGATGCTCGGAGAACTCATCAGAATGTTGACCCAGGCCACGAGGCTATGAAGGCACAAGAGGGCCTAATCAGAAACATACACTCCAGCCCAGATAGATACAACAGCTATGAGCATCATGTGTCTACCAGCACAGAGAAACTGTATCCAGGTATAATTCATAATGTATTTTCAACTCAATAGAAACTGTAGGAAAACAGCACTTGTTCTAATATCAGGAACTTTCAAGTCTGTATATAGAATGTACAGAAATTTGGTTATACTTGGTAGATAAAATGACAAACAACAAATATACAATATATAAAACAAAGAATTTTATCTTTAATCTGATATTGAACCTATTATGAAGGGGAAAATAATGATAAATAGCTTTTTTGCTTGAGTTTGCATATTGATCTCACAGATTTTGAACCTAGGACCATCTGAATAATGGTTAGTTATAATTATTGAATATTTGAAAAGAATAAAACTTCATATAAGATTTTTTAAACATTGATCTTACAGGTGCTCCGCTTGGCTACGAAAGACAAGCTAGAAACAACAACCATCCCCACAATTGCCCACCTCAAAGGACGAGCTCCGACTTCAGAAGCCCAATTAGAGTTGACACTACTGTAAGTGATCATGATATCTACAGTTCATCCAGTAACAAAAAGACTTCCAATATTTACCCAGGAAATAAAGTATCACCAAACAGGAGGTACTCCGACTCACCACAGTTTTCCCATGCACAAATGAAACCTCTGCAGAGTTCCGGATCCCATCCGCATGGGTTAGATTTTTCACAGACACCTCCACCCAAACCACCTCGAAGGCACCAGTCTTTGAATCGCATTCATATTCCTGAGGATCAAGATGAGGGAGAACTCTCCGACAATGATAGTTATAAAGAATGGCAGAATAGTCCGCTTGTAGGAAAGGATATTGGAAGTAGTTTATCAGGAAGAAGTGACAGAGGAGACAGAGAAAGAAATTATGAGCGAGATAGGTACTTTGATGCACCAATCAGTCGCTCAGCTTCAGATTATAATGTTCTTAGACTAGACCATGCTGTTGCAGAAGGATACTCAGGAATATTCTCTCCTACCTACCAAGATGCTCCCATTAGCCGATCAAAATCTGACCGTGAATTCTTTGTAGTGGAACCAGATAGAAGAACTGCTTCCAGAAGCCAGCCAATAACCATTCAGGGAGGCAGGTGCTCTCAGAACCAACAGCAAAATCAGGGTAACATAGACAAGGTTAGGTCAGACAGATATAGATCGGACAGGATCAGATCACAACAGCATTCCACCAGGTCGAGAAGCCAAGAGTATGTGTATGATGCTCCACATTCAACTCCAGCGTCATATAATTATTCTCAATCACCCTCAGTGACATCACCCATACAGTCACCAACCCAAAGAAAAAGTAACCATGAAATGCACAGGGCTTTGGAACAGGAGAGACCACTCCAAAGGCAGTCTCGAAGAGATGTTTTCATAGAGACACAAGAATACTACACCAGAAAAGACAGGCTGGAGGTTGAAGTTGAACGGAGACAACAGACATCATCACAAACCTCACTCCACTTGTCAAATGATCATCTCCACAGTCCACATAACCATTTTTATACATGCAAAAATGCTCAGGGTTTTCATGGAGTAAGCAACAATTCTTACGTTCCTGAAGAAGATTTTAAGCCACAGGGTTCATATAATCATCTCCATACTCCGCCAACAAGCAGAGGACATCTACCAATGCCACAAAAATATGCTGACGATCACAGGGTAAATTACCATCAGAAAAACCATAATAACCATCTACCTCAAAGCTACCATGTGCCACAATCTAGACCACAACGACCTCAACATCTGTCTTTGAATGAGTACAGTGATGCAAATTATACCTATGCAACCATGGATGAAAAATTATCAATTGAACATAATGCTCAAGATCAAAATGGATCCAAATCAGTGAAAGTATATCCCCAACAGAAAAGCTTGGACCATTCTTTCAAATTCCAAACCATTGAAAACAGTGGACGTATGCAATCTCAACCAAACAAAATCCAGGATCAACAAGAATATGCAACCAGTAAAGAGACTGTTTATGACAATTTATATCCATCATATCAGCAGCAGTTTTCTAGATTACCAGTTGTCTTACCAGAAAAAGATTCAAAAGTTGAGCATCTAAGAAAATGTGACAGCAGAGACTTCCACAAGTCATCACCAACAGAAAGTCCTTGTAGCACAGACTCAGAAATAAGAGCTTTGAATGAACCAGTAAGACAAAGCTCTAAATGGATCAACACTGAAAATGTACCAGAACATAGTAGATTCCACCATGGCTCTTCTTTGCCTGAAAGGGATATCCTTCGAAGACAGAAGAATGTTGATGAACATGAGCCGTTGTCACAGGTCTCATTAGAGCGAGCCGATACTGCCCCAGTTTCTTCTGATGTATGGGTGCAAAGAGATGATTTCTCTCCACAAAGAGACAGAATTTCAAAGGCTAGGGAAGGGAGAGCATCTCCTCTCACAGGCAGAAGGATGTTGATACCAAAACAACCTGCAAGGAATCTAAATAGTCAAGTCAACGATGAAAAAAGAGAATATACCAAACTTCAAACAACCTCACCTGAGTACAGATACAATCACAAAGGAAATGGGTCACTACCAGAGGAACAACTACAATGGGTCTACAGTGGCCTACCTCCGCAAAAATCATTACTGCATGGAAAAGGAAATCCTAATGGAAACATTGTACTTCCCAAGACTATTGACTCAGAAAGACATTCTGACTCTCCACATCTGCAAAAACAGTACACAATACCTGGGAATTTCAAGCTACAAATGACAGAGAAACAGGAATCAGTTTCAAGTCCAGAAAACATTGAAATTAGATCCTTATCAGAATCTAGAGATAGTAAGGAATATGAGGTTGTAAAACCAAGAGGAAGATTAAAGAATCGTTACAGTGGGTCCTTGTCTGCTCCTGGTAGACGCAGTAAAAGTTTACCGCGCATTGCACAACAATCTGAAGATCTCTGCTACTCTGCCTCAAATCTTGCCCATTATTCTAAAGTCCGAAGTGAGAGTGTTGATGAATTGTCTGAAGCGTCTCTTGTCAAAGGTGAACCAGTTTCTCCTGGGGCTTTGCTCTTTGCTCAGAAGCGACTTGAGAAAGATTTAGCAGATTTAGCAGAAACTCATACCGATTCTGTAGAAAAGTTTGATAATTCTCCAGAAGCAGGATCAGTTTGGATTAAACGAGAAGAGCAAGAACTGTTAAAGCAGCATCGTGTTTACAAAGAACACCGAACAAAGAAGCAAGAAGAAATCCTCTCTGAAATGACGTCACTTAATCCTGATTTTGTAAACACTTCACCATTTTTACAGCATCGCAATTCTCACAGATTTGAACATGATGTTGAAAAAGCAATCGATGAGCTAGAAAACTTCCATCATATCGTTGACAAAGAAGCAGATAATGTTCTCCAACCAAAACATTATAAGCCATACGATCACAGGTCAAATGAGATGCCTGCAGCCATTTATGCAGAAGATACATCAAAATCCAAAGATTTAAAATCACAAATAACACTTGCACAACGGAAACGAAGGGGAAAAAGGGATCAACCTATGTCAGGATTTGGAAAAATAACCACCAGTAAAAGCTTAGATTCCATTACAGATGCTTTGAGAGCATCCCAAGAGTTCCTACCTTTCCGTCAAGCTCAGCATTCTAACTTGTCTACCCAGTCATCTTTGAGTAAGTCAACAGAAAGCCTGCATTCACCTCGACGATCCAGGCGATCATATGCAAAGAGAGATGCACGGTCAAGCTCTGAAGAAGACTGGAGAAACCCAAGACGATCGTTGTCCTACGGATCGTTATATAAGCAACCACATTTTGATAACATGGGCTTTAGTTCAGACAGTAGTCCATCAAGTCCAGTAAGACTTGTCCACCACCGAAAGGTCAAGACAAAATCTCTGATTGGCATTCCATTAAACTTTGGATCAAAGGAAAGTATACCACTTAATACAAATGATGAACTGACACCTGATGGCTTTTCTGGGGAACCAGTTATTGAACCAGAATTGGTTAAAATTGTCCTGGAAGTTGAAGAAACATCACCAAGTATATTTGATAAATTGATATCTGCTCCAGTGTCAACAACCAATTTGAGTGTGGCTATGCCAGGGGTGAGGTATAGTGTTGCCTCAGTGTCATCCATTGATAGCCAAGTTCTATCAAAACCTTTTGAAGAAATGGATGCTGAATATAATTATTTGGCAGTTGATCATCGGGTGGATGTTTCATCAGATGATGATCCTGGTGATATCACACCGGAGGACTTGGTTCAGGTTGGTGGAACCATTAGTGCCCTTTGCTTCCCACGCCATCTTATAAAGCCTGATGCTAAAAAGCCACCAATATATCCTAAACGTTCTTCAGGCGGTCAAAGCCCTTCTTCCCCAAAGGAGCAGTCAACACTTACTGTTCCCACCATTATAAAGAACCTACCAGATCCAAATAGCTTTGCACCTATTGCCTTTGAAGAGAGTCTCTCTGACACCGATGGAAATAACACAGACCCTGATGCACCAAGAATGGAGACTCCTGATGATGGTACTGTACCAACTTCTCCTTGTGACAGAGAAAGTATTTCAGATTCACAGATAAAAAATCAACACTCTGACCGTGTTGGCATTGTGGCACCAAGATTGAAGATTCAATCAGAAACTCAGAATTCTGTCCCAGATGACAAAGAAAGAGGTTATTATGATGCTTACAAAGCTGATGTGGATAATGCTAGGAGAGGTAAGCTCTCTCTTTCTTATATGCTGCATGCCTGCTAAGGGGTCATCTTTCTCATTTGGGCAGTCTTCTTTAAATCGTCACAGAGTACATTAAAATAATGTAGATACAATTTGCATGAGTGTTGCATGTTTCATAAAATGAGAATCTGTTTATATGTGTGTTCTTCACAAATGAAAAAATAAGAGTAATGTTATTGGTTTGGTGAAGAAAAAACTTCCAAAACAATCAGTAATGTTATATCTTTGCTAAATATATAATATAATTATGGATAGCACTAAATTCACATTAAGCATAAGAGAAACAGGATTGGGAAAAGAGTGTTAAGGACACACTAGAGTACTGGCTGAATCCATTTGTGAAGATATTGACAACTGCAAACACATTCTTATAATTGAGATTGGAATTCTTCAATACCAAATGATTTTGGATATTTTTGCCCGATTTTTGAGATTTTATATTTGTTATCATTTGTTTGGTAAATTCTTCTTTGGAAGAAAAAAGTTTGTTTTTATTTCAATTATGTGTACATTTTTCCAACTGGGAAAATTTTATAATGGGTTTAGATTGATTGTATTAATAAGTTAATAAGTAATTCTATGGAAAAGAATTGCATTTCTTGCTTGGCTTTCATCATTGGTATTGATAATCAATAGTGAAGTGTGCAGCGGATACTATAGGTGGCAGCAAACATGAATTTATCATTGTCATAGAAATGAGTTTTAGTCAACCTTGTGGCTGTAATACAACAGTAATAATTTGTGAAATGCTTGGTTACCAATACTACCTCATTGGAATCACTACCTCATTACAATTCCAAATATTTGTATGTGTACTTTTCTTCATGTTTATTGTTTTTATGCTGTTGCTCTAGATCATACATAATGTTATTCGCAACACTTATATAGTTTATATAGGCGTTGTTACCACTAAATACAGTGTATGACATTTATTATGAACATTTTGCGTCTACCATTGACATGCTTCAAAAATCTTTGCATGCAAATCTTCACCCATGCAATCATATCACAACTTGTTGAATTACTTAGAAAGCTGTGCTATTATTGGCAGTTTAAGGTGTTACATAGTTGTAGGTCACTATATTTTATTCAATGTTTCAAAATATGTTTAGTTTAGAGTTGTTAATCTAGCATAAAAATATGTTAAACTCTTCATAGTAAAATAGAACATGTCTTATCAATTATTTACTCAAAATATGTTGTTAAGTATGAAAAGCCAATACACTAATAACTCTTCCAAATTATAAGTACATTGCTTAGGAGTTAAATGTCCCCAAGTTTTTCACAGTAATTAAACAGGGTAATAACGTGAAGGGCATACACTACATAATTTGGCATGCACCACTGACCTTAAACTAACATACATGATAATTAATATTAATTTTTTACCCACAGTATTTATAACATTTCTACTTAACATAGCATTTGGACTTTAGAACATAACAATACAAATACAATATGTAGTCAATATAAACAACAATACATATTAAGTATTTTTTCCAAAAGCATTAATGTTTAACCAATTTTTAACTTTGGAAGGCTGATATTAACTGCCACTTGAGCTATAGTTCCACTACTTTCAACTTGCATTCCTCGTAATTTCATATACTGTGAGAAAATGGTGTAAACAATTTGAGAACATTTTGTCTGAGAATGTTTAACTTTTATTGAAATATAAGGCAAGATACCAGAAAAGGCATCTGTCCTATAATTGGTGGTTCAATTTCAAATGTATGCATTTGTTAAATAATATAGAAATAAACAATGAAAACAGCTGAAAAAAATGATTGACTTAATGTGACATTTTCATAGCATTGTTCACTTTGAAATACTGTATAAAAAATTGACAGTGTCTTAGTTATTAACCTCTTATGTAGGCCATATAGCCAGAAAGGTTAACTGTACTTTTAAGTCCTTTTTATTGCCTACAGGAATTCATTTGAATAGTTGTAAATATTTTTATAACCTACTTTTGCAAATTACTTTGTTATTCATTATACTTCAGATTTTATTAGGCAGCATAATCTAACATTACAATGTATTCACCTTATAATTAATTTTTCCTTTACCAATATTAAATAAGACAAATATCTATTCTATTAATGTAGTTAAATTTGAAATATTTTTATTTGTATTGAAGTAAAGCATCTTCATTCCTTTGTTTTATAAAGTTAATATTGATAATTATTAAGTAATTTCTGAAAATAGATATTTGCATGGAAAACCATACTGTATAATTAGCCTAAATTATATTTTTAGTATATTATCGTATATGATAGAGTATAGGCATTCTATGCAATTGAAAGCTATAAAATACTGTAGTATGCGTACCATCCAAGCTTGAAAACAAACTTTTTAAATATATTCTGTCAGCAAAAATTGACCTTGTTGTGATGTTTTTGTTTTTAAATAAGAAAACCGTACTCCATAAAAACAAACATGCCCTCAAAAGATATGTGATAGGCTTAAAACTAGCTTTGCCTTTAGGCTTTGTTGGAATATATGGATAAAAACCTGCAGCTTGGGAGGAGGAGGATAAAGTGGGGGAGGCAGGGTGTAGAGAATGTTTTTATCCCTCAAAGTCTTCTCAACAATATATCAATACCATTTAAATTATACAAATTTAAAAATTCAGAGCATTTTTATTGTCCTCATTGTAGAGATAGTCTTTGAATGAATATTCATTCTCTTTGAATGAGTTTTTATAAAGACCAATTTTTATTGTCCTCAATGTAGAGATAGTCTTTTTTTGAATATTCATTGGTATTGGAACACTCACAACATGAATATTCAATAAAGTTTTAACAACATGTGACTAAGAGGTGTATCTTTTACATTATGACCATGTTGTGAGAGCCTTATACAGGCAGACAACTTCCATGCATGTTAATTAACCTGACCTATGGGGTCATACAAAGGAATTCTGGGTCAGATGACTAAAAATAGACACTTGACTATCTTGACTAAGAGGCAATTAGCATAAATATGTCCATTACAACTAGGCATAACCATATTCGGCAAGATAGAATTGAAGCCCTTTTTGCGGATGGGTTTCTGCCAATCATAATCAGCAAATGGATGTTGGGCAGGCTTGAAGTCTAGCCTTGCCCATCAACGATCACGTTAATTCCTCCGTTTACTTGTGACATTAATTAGACATGACAACATTTGAATATCAAATGATTTAATATCATTTTTATGTATGGTGCACAGGGGAAAAGTACTTTGAGATTTCGTCAGTTTAAATCTGCAGTTATAATTTCATTTAATTATTCTATCGTAAAGTTAAAATTCGGTGTTTACAAGCTAAAGTAAATATATTACTGTAGTTATTTTGTTGGATGCTTTGTCTCACTGTTGATTAGGAGCCCTCTATTGGCATGGAAATTCATTCTACTTTTTGAGTTCATTGGATGTTCCTATGGGTTAGCTTAGGTTTTAGTTCCTAACATTAAATATTGTTTATTTAGTTGGGAACCCCCATATATATTTGCAAGGAAATCTTTGTATATTTTCTAAGTATGAGTCGATACTTACCGTATATTCATATAATTTATATCCCTATTTTGTAGGCTCTATTTATTTGTTGATTGGTTTATCATAATACAAAACTAAATGTTAATGCTGATAATGACAATATTTCATAAGAAATATAATGTATAAACTTACATAACTTACTTATAGTATAGGAGATTTATATATATATTTTTTAATTATAAAGAAATAGTTAACATTGAGATGTTGTTTATAGAACTTCTGGACATTTATGTGTAGTGCTTACATCAATCAAGTAAATATAAATGGCTTAGAAAGTTTATAGTATTATTAATTTGATTAAGAATTAAAATATGTACCCTCATGAATATAACTCAATATATTCTAATTAGTTTTTTTTAAATATTTGTTGTATATTTTGAAACTTTTATCAAAGTAAAATTTAGATTTAAAATTAATTCCAATCTTGTTGATATTAAGCTGTGTATCTCCGCACACTGTCTTAGTGTTACTGCGTAACTAATGACTGACTATGTCGCTATAATAAGAAGTAACCTATCGGCAGTCCACGGGCTGCCTGCTAACTGATCTGTAAAGACAGTTTCTTGTCTTCACTTCAAGTTCAGAGTAGAGCATCAGCTTGCCAGAATTCTAAGCATTCCAGGCCATAGCCAGCTCATCCTGTCTTATAAATGTATGAATTTATTATTCAGGCCTGTTGATGATAGAGGTAGCAGAAACCTATTCATTTCCCTTCCATGTGATGATAATCACAAAGAATTTTCACAGCAGGCCTTTAATTATTTCTGGGAGTTTGTCTGTACTTGGAATATTATTATTGTTACATTTGGATCTAAGGATTCGTGTCCATGTATCTCGATGGAGTTACTAATTGCTAGGGAGATAGTTACCATAGTCACAGGAAGACCTCCAAGCTGCTACTAGTGAGTTATTTTTGTTTACTACTAAAAGGTTATAATGTTGATCAAGTATTCTATTATTTATGTTTTAAATTTGACAATGATTATAATAAAATAATAATATAGATATTAGTGATAATACAGTAATTATTTATATTATAGACCTATATATTGTGTCACCAGTAATATCTGACCTTAGATTTTTAATACTTACTCCAACTTAGTTTTTGTATAATATTCTTTTGTTTTGCTAATTTATATTCATTTAGATTTTTTTAGGGTACATTAAACAGTATTATGACAATTTAATTAGAAATTATCAATATTCATTTAGTGTTAGAAACTAATACAATGTAGTGGTTTCTTTAGTTAGATATAATTTCATAAATATTATTTAGTTATTTTTGTATTTACCATCGTTTGTATCTAGATATTATAGTCTTTTTTAACATTTCTTAATTTTCTATAATTAATTTTGATATTACGCACAATTTTTATATCTTATTTATATTATTTGTATTAAAATCATCATACTTTTTTGAAAACTAAAGGCATGTTTTTTTTCCAT